TCTAATGGTCAGAGCTTTCTTACACAAGGTTCCACGCACGGATTCGAATCCCAGTGGTCCACTTACACAAGAACCGCCATTTGTTTACCGAACAGCAACGTCTGGCGAGGGGTCCGTCCCCGGAGATCTCTACGCTCAATCCCAGTGATTAAGCTTCTAACAGCCTCAAGCCCATGTGATCCGGCCGGGTGCTAACGAGCTCAGCGCATATCTTTTATTAGATAAAATTAGACCATCTGATCAGTCAACCGTTGACTGATCAGATGGTCTAATTTTAATTTTATCTAATACAGGCTTCTTTTTCATATTATGACATCAGCATGACTTTCCAACGGCAGAGGTGGGCCGCGGGTCGGTTGGTTGTTGTTGTTGTTGTTGTTGTTGTTGTTGTTGTTGTTGTTGTTGTTGTTGTTGTTGTTGTCTTCACATTAAACTCGTGCCAGTTGCTAATCCCAACATCTAGCAAAAGACGCGGTCCGTGGTCACAAAAATGCTAGAGCCATCAGAAGATCCAAAGAACACGCAAAGTCGCAAGAAATTATTGGTTGGGGTAAAAAATATATTAAATAGGGACAGATAGTCTAGAGCTATATCCTAGCATTGGAGCGGTGCAAAAAACTGGTACAGCAGCAGGAGGCCGGGTTTGAACCAGCCAACAGTAGTTTCGAGAGGACGCTTGCTATCCTCCGGGAGTGAGTACATCTCTCCTCTTTTCCCCGCCACACCCACCTGTCTATTTACCCGCCATTCCTCGGGCAATGCTGCAACTTTTGTATCCACAGGAAGAGTTTCCTCCGGAAGTTCCCGTCAACCATTGCGTTCCACCAAGCAAGTCGTTGTACGCCTCAAATGTTAGGGAACAAAACACACACACAGAAATTACCCATCCGAGCATTCGAGATATACCCACGGTCTCCTCAAATGTCTGAAGATCATCAATGGTGATGACAGAGACGACGGTGCCGCTGTCGTCTCCACGTTGAAAATGAGGTCTGAAAATGTACCAGACTAAATTACAAGTTATGGTATTTGGATACCATCGGGGCGGGTGCATCTTTCAGGAATATCCCGACCACCTGTCCAGATTCCTGGTATTCCGACTTTAGGCACGTACCGTACAATTGTTCTACAATAGCAGTAGCAAGCGATGTGCAAACGTTCCCCCCTGCTCCGTGTGCTGCCTGCCGTGCGTTGCCCTGGTGTTGCGTGGGAGTGAGCGATCGCGATAGAGAGAAAGGAAGGATAAGGAAGGAAACAGACTGACGAAGCGAAGCGGCTCCAACCTGCACACAGTGGTCGCACTACTGTAGCTCCCACCTGAACCCGCATCAGGGAGCGTCACATCTCGTCACAATTACCTAACCTTCAACCGGCAAGTCAATTGATTTACAACTTGCAATTCTGGTATACAAGGTTCTCTGCATTTCGCCTGGGCAAGAAACCGACTGAAAACCCTGGCGTTAACCGTAACCCTAAAACCCACACAAAAATGGGTGCTAGGAGACATACTAACTGATGACCGATTTCACATCACACTTATACATCACACTCAAACACCGTAGGTTGCACAAGATATCACACCCCCTGGACCGATTTTCGAAACTCGATACCTCGGCAGGAAAAGCAGTGACGGTGCCGAATGGCGGCGTTGGAACCATCTCGTCGCGAGCTTTCCGAAAACGTGTAGTTCAGTTCCGGTACATGTATCCTCTTCGTCGTGGAGTAGTCGGGCTTTGAAAATCGGTCAAGGGGGAGTAATATCTTATGCAACGAACGGTACACGCTGCATCAATACGTTCGGAACCAGTCTACATTCACCTTTGAGCTCTATCTATCTTATAACCACTCGGCATCTTCCACTGCTACACTACCCCCGTGCTTATGTGCGCAGCCCGCCCCCCCGCTGGGCGAGCGGAGCCCCCTGGTATGTATGTAGACTATGGATGCGTACCCTATACTCGACTTAGCCGTGAGATTTTCTCTTCGCATATAATGCGTAGACTAGAGGAGGACCAATCAATCAAGACGTATAATGCTAATTGTTTGAGAAATCTCAAACGTCTACCGCCGTCAAATACGGAACCACGTGATGAGCGCCTGGGCCTCTGGGACATTGAACCTCTCTTTTCTGATCCTTTCTTTTCTACTGGCTCCGGCCAAGGCCCAGCTCAATAGAGGCATCCGCAAGGGTTTGCACATGCATCGAGCTTGATCGAGCGTATCTGAACCATCGGCTGGGGCGATCTATGACCCACATTTGACTGGTTGGCGGCGACAAAGTGTGATTGGTGGTGTCAATAGAGCGCTGGTGTCTGCGTGCGCCGGGGTCACCGAAGCGAGGCATGTGCCACGATGGATGTGTTTGCCCGGCGCTTGCGTAAGCTGCGTACGGTGCAGTATGTGCAGCTCTGTGCACTGCAATAAGCAAGAGGTGGATACAGGAGATTCAATGACGTGATAATTCGGAGATACGAAGACGGACTGCCGGCGGAAGTCAGCACAAGAGCAAAACTAGTATCTGTGCAGCAAGTACTGTTGTCGCGCCGAACATCTGCGTGGCATGGTGCTCAAAGTACAAGGATGGAACCGGATGGAGATGTCAGTTTGTTGTTCGAGAGAATGCCGAAAACGTTGCACCGTTATACTCTTTCGATAAAGTCAATAGCTCGTCGAAACGTCCCAGCGCAAGCGAGCACCGAGTCATGGCCCTCCCTCCCATTTCATCACCTCTTCCCTCGTACCCATGAACGCAGTATTAGTAGCAGACCGGACGACAATGTTCGGTCATTGCTACCCGAGCGAGGCACACCCCCCTGAGCAGCCACGTGTATAACGACGTATGTATGTTTTCCTTTCTGCTTTGGACAAGTACAGATGTTCTCCTTCTTGGGGATAAAGATAGTCAAGCTTCGGAAAGTAGAACGAAGACATCCCCGAAGCACTGTGCACGATTTTCTATGTGTCTGAAGGACGATTACAGCCGCTAAGCCAACGAGTGCGATGATCTGTTGTTCTGAGAAAAACCGCTTGACTACGTACGTGTTTCGCCCCAAAAAACATATTCTTGCCAAGCAAGCTAAACCTAGAAAGGAGTATCAGCTCCTGGTACATCGGAATTCAGAACACAGTACCTTCCGCCAGACCATGGCGTGAAGCGCGAAAGTCATTTCGTTCCCTAGCCAAGAACAGCTTAGGCAAGACCAAAATCTTGGCGGCAAATGAGTAACATCAACTCCTGTCCTCCATCCCGTTTCCACTCTACTTGGAGCGAGATATGCCCCATTGCAGCACGGAGTGATCGTGTCCACCCACGGCGATGAGCTTTGAGTCATCCGCCGTGAAAGCAAGAGCCGCCGGTGCGGTCACCCGGGCATCGGTTCCCTTGACGCACGCCGCCCCCTCCTGCGCGCATCACAAAATGAGCGCCAGCGTCGGCGAACATTCGGCGTTAGAACGTGAACCTCTATGTTTTCATCGTATCTGACGCATTCGACGTTGGGGATCTTTCTGAACCATGGGGCTTGTGGTTAAAGGTTGAGCAAGACGCCTACAAGTGACGACCCATGCACCAGCTTTTTCGTCCCCCTCTTATCCTCAGAAGAGGGCACGGAAGCAACACCCGTTGTAGACTATGCCACGCTGCAGAGCGACGAAACCAAAAAACCTCGGTCCTCGCCATAGAGAGCACGCCTGTCCCTTGGTTTACCTTGGATGCCGGGTAGCGCCACAGGCCAATGGCGGCGGCGTCGGAGCAGGCGGCGAGGATGTCCTTGCCGTGCGATCGGCCTGAAGCGGAGGCCTCAACGCCTGAACCTGTGTTCGGGCGAAACCGACAACAACGAACAAGGGCGAAACTGTCGGGATTCAGTGATGGAGCGGTAGACTATTTGATTGTTTCCTACGGAGGTTGCGGAATGAGCAAGCTTGCACAGAGAAATAAGTGAGTGTTTTCCGAGCGTAAAATGCAGCGAACGGATGCCTTCTCTCGCGACCAGTCCAAAAGCATATTTCTCTGCACCACAAGCCCATTCGGAAGACACTTAACATGAGCATCAACGAGACACGCAGAGCGATAACCTCGCGTCCGCGCTTCATTCCTGTTCGGAGCGTTCTCGCGTCTCGCTCACCGGTGTTGGACGCGCCGCGTACTCCCCAGTGCCCTACGAAGCACTTGCTGCTGGCCCAGGTGGATGCCTCGTCCCCCACCGGAGCTACGGGCATGGCATCCCCGGCAGAGGTTGCGTAGGAGAGAACTCCCCTCGCATCACAGTACCGGAAGATCTGGATGTGTTCGTACGTAGACGGGGAGGGAAAGGGTAGGGGTTTGAGTGTGACGTTGGGAGCAAACGTTGTGGGCGGGGTTGGTGCGGATCATTGACGGAGTAGGCCACAACGTTCTGTACGGCGGCGAAAATGAGCATCTCCCACGAAATACCAACACCGATACCGACAACAATCACATCATCGTTATTACCAACAACAACAACAACAACAACAGCAAGCACTAGTCTACAACCCAGAACAATGCAACCATGGAACACCCACATACGCAACAAGAACCACCACGGAGCGAAACAACGAGAGAAAACATCAACAAGAACGTTTGAGGTTGTCGAGGGGCCGTGATTTATGTTCATTTGAGGTATTCCGTTTAACTATGCAGTAGAGCCATCGAAAGCAGGTTGGATAGGAGTATGTTTTGGACGGCGACAAAGGGGATCGATACTTGGTCCCAAGGGATAGAGACGGACCCCATTCACAAGATTTCCCAGGGTCAACGCCATCATGGAAGCCAACGGGGTTGCTCAAACTCAACCCCTTAAGCCCTCGCCACACTCTAGCACCTCCAAGTCTTTTACCCGGATTCCAAATCAAGTGCACCACGTTTTTGGAAACGGTCGTACAAACAACTCGATTCCGAGTAGTTTCAGTCCCCGACATAGCTTTGAGATGTTTGGGTCTGTCGTGTGAGAAGTATCGGGTTCTAAATGGGCGTTTTGCCAGGACGGCAGATGGAGCTGAACGAACACGATTGCATTAGTCGAACGCCGTCACCCCCTCATCGCCCCGTCCACTCGCTCATCACCCTCTCCCTATTCTCACCTTGCCATCCGCAGAAATGTCCATCGCGAGAACGGACGCCGCTTCACCCGGCGGCGGCTTCGACCAAACGTGCTGGACGCCCATGCCGCCCTGCGATAGCTTCATGCCGTGGAGCGAGCCATTCTCGCACCCGACGGCCATGGTGGCCTCGTCCAGGGATACAGCGATGGCGCTGATCGGGGACTTCGGCTTCTTGTCGCTAGGGCATCTGTGTCGAATGCAGTTGGTGTTGGGGGAAAATAGGAGCACGCGGTTGCCATTGGTGATGCGGGGGTGGGACTGTGTGATTGTTTGAATGTTGATACACGTGTGCTGCAGCGGGAGGCGTGGGCCTCGCGGGACGGTTCCAAAATAGGTACGACTAGGGCCCCTGAAGAGGGCACCTCTGTCGGAGACCACTGGCAGCGTTTCCCCTACCACCAACCCACCAACCGTGATAAACACCGGCATTCTCTCCGTCAAACCCCCTCAATAGCCTTCAGGCAGTGTCAACATACCCCCGGAAGACCCACTCGCCCTACCTTGAGAGCACCGACATGTCCCCGTCAGGGGACACGAGCACGATGTCCCCGGTCGTCAGCCCGCACACCGCGAACGACCCCTTCGGGGTCCACTCCACCGCCCCGATCCCCGGGGCCGCCGCCACCGTCGCCGGCCCGGTCGCAACGGCCGCCATCGTGGCGCCGACGGCCAGCTTGGCGGTGAGGCGGCGCCCCCCGGTGGACCACCTCCGCAGGTAGCCGTCGAGCGCCGCGGTCAGGAAGACGTCGGCGTCTTTCGGGCTCGCGGCTACGGCGGCGGCGGCGCGGTTCATGGCAGCAGCGGCCGTGGCGCCGTCGGCCGTGTTGTCAACGGGGGGGGGGCCCGGAGCGGGGCCGTCGATGAGGACGGACGTGTCGCCGGAGTCGAGCGAGACCTGGGCAATGAAAAGGGTTTTTGGCGGGGGGGAGCGCGGAGCGCTCGTAAGGAGTAATGTATACACCAGGTGTGTTTGCGCTCGAGCGTGGACGAAACCATTTCAGGTGCGTGGCACTCATCAGAAAAAACTAGAGCAACAGAGGTGGAAAACCATCCAGGCTCACACGGAAAGGATCGACAACCTGTTAGGGCATCCTTTGGCGTTGAAGGCTTCGGTGGGGTAAATGTTTTCAGTGTGTTACCCCTCAAGGGTCTCCACCCCACCTCAATCACCCGACCCGATGATGTGCCGCAGGCCATGTTGCTCTCTTTCCTGTTGACGGTAACCGCTCGCACGGCCTCGGACGGGCTGCCCTCCTGCAGAACCATCAACGTTTTCAACCCAAACACAAGGACGGACGGCGGGCAGTGAGGCTTGTGGCCAGTGCGAGTGGTCACGGGATGAAGGCGAGCAGCAATTGCAGGAGCGGGGTTGGAAAAGGATCGACCAGATGAAGCACGCACGGCGTGAGGCTCGGCCCTACGGGGACACAACCTACGTTGATGTCAAAGCACCTGTGCCAGCACTGGGTAGTACCCTCTTCGAGGTGCTTCACGCTCACGGTTATAACGTGTGTTTTGAGAAAGGGCGCCCCTCAGGGAGGCTTTGCTTATCGCACATACGCGTGGTATCACACAGAGTTTTGTGTGCTCAATGCACAATCAGTTTTGAACCTGGCTCGTGACTGTGGCCTTTGGTTGTCGTAGAAGGTGGAGAAGTGATCAAAGCACATCGGCACCTGCTGCAACAACACTTACAACCACAACGCAACACAACCACGCATCCTCAGCTCCCCGAGACCAAGCATCGCCAATTAAAAAATACGGAGCAGGCGAGAAGTGCACCTGGCGGATGGTGATGATTGAGCCCTTCACGTTGAGTTGGTTGTCCCAGACGCAAACGTTGCCATCGGCTCCTCCGGACACGAACCCGCCGGAGTAGGTGGGGCTCAAGCAGAGCACGGCCGACGCGCCTGAGGACAATCGGAAGTAAGGATCAACCGAAACATCCGCGAGAACATCCGCGACGTGTCGGAAAAAACACTAGCAAGCAACGGGTTTTCGGGCCGAGCTCGGAGTTTCGAAGGCTCGGCAAGCTTTCCAGGCAAAAAGAGAGCCACCGCGAAGGAACGATATTGTTGTTCCTTCCCATGTCTAGCGGGAATCGAGTAACCGTCACCTTTTTCCGGTGGTGGGGTTGAGCTGGTTGTAGTTCTGCACGTGACTGGCTCTAAAAAAGTGTGGTTTTCCATTTTTTTTGTCACATGTACCCCTCCCCTCCCACCAAAGTACGTACCATGCACCCCCAGCACCATCTTCACGCACTCGAAGTTCTCCCAGACCGCGATGGCGCCGCTAGCCGTGCCTGTCACGGCCGTGACAACAGCTCCCGCCGCCTCTTCCCCGGCACCTCCGGCCGACGTAGACCCGGCCTTCCCTCCCCCGCACCCGATGGCCACGCCGCACGTGAAGGTCTCGACCATCGCCTTCTCGGCAGACGAGATCACCGAGGACTTGGTAGCCCCAGAGACCGTTTCGTTTGACGCCGGAGCCCGCTCTGCTTCTGAGGAGCTTTCAGCGGCGGTAGCGGTGGCGCCATCGGCCGGGGGACAGCTGCGGCGTACGTTTCCGAGGCGGGACGACAGGCTCGGCCGCAGGGTCCAGAAGACGACGTAGTTCTGGCCGCCGGTCATGACCTTTGCGGTTTGGCGGGGTGTAAAGGCAAGGACGGATGATAATTCAACATTGCGTCTACCGAGTTCCTTGGCGAAGCCCGAGGTATTTCGATCACCTTCAATCGTTCGAGGGTCGATTGTGCTTGCGATGAAGTGGCGAAAGACACGAACCTAAATGAAAATCGAAACGTCGTGTTCGACAGCGGGCTGAATGGTTGGCCCTTCGTAGTCGTCAGGCTGATGGTTAATGATTGCTAGTCAAAGAAAGGCTGCAGCGAACGGGAAGCATATCATGTGTTGACCCCATTTAGGGGCCGAGAAAAGCCGTGGGGTGCATAAGACCATGCACTTTGCTCCCGCTGCCGGTAGCTACGATTCTAGCACATCGATTGACAAGGACCAAGACTCGCATTTGCCCCCGCACCCGCCCACGTTGCGAGCACCTCAGCCCGTCGCCACGGCTCCTCCCCCCCATTTTGAGACCCTGTCCCAAGTTACGTATCGTTTGGGCGTGCGGACGTATAGCGCACGCTCGCCCCTTGCCAAGATCGGATTGCGCACAAACAACATCTGAACAAACGTTCCCCATGACATCTGCCCATTCTTCCTCGAGGGGCGATCCCCGCCCCTGGACAAGGTACACCTTCGCCGTACCTGGTACGGGGGCGACGACTTCTCTTGCTTTCCGTCGGCAGCAGCAGCCCAGGTCACGAACATTGCGGGGCGCCTGGGTCCCTGTCCGAGCGCCACCCTGGCCCCGTCGGTCCACGTGCCGGAGGCGGAGGACCAGACGCACAGGGAGTTGTCGCGGTCGGCGCCGATGCCGCACAGCATCGAGCCGTCGGGCGAGAAGGACAGCCGCCGCACGGCCCCGAAGAGCGAGGCGGGAAGGACGCAAGTTCGCTGGGGGATGGGGTTGGATTTGAGACGGGTGTTGGGCAAAGAAAGAGGAAGGAGCATTGTTTGGGGCGCGTGTGGGAATGAATGTAAAGGGGGTAAATGAACAAGCAAAAATCGTCACTCATTTGGTTGGTTTGAGTACGAGAATAACCGTGCTGTTGGTCAGAGCGTTCAGAATAGACAGCAATATAGTTGCGTCGCCCTCACGTGTCCGGTGGCGGGGTCCCAGATCATGGCGGAGGCGTTCTTCCCTTCCTGCCCCGTCGCTACGAAACGGCCGCACGGTGACACAGCCAAGCTGGAAACACGGCCGCAGTGACCGGCCAACAGCACCTGCGAGTGGGAGGCCTTCCGTAGAAAGACGAAGAGCAACAGACCAATGAACGGAAGATTGTGTTGAAGATGGTGGTTGGGCAGGAGCGCTTATGTCTCACCACATACTTTTTTTTCTCGGCACCCTCGTTCACGCTGCAAGGGGCCCAACGATGGTCCTCCGTGGGCACCGGTACACAACTACATCATATCGTCCGTCTTAGCGTCTAAACCCGGGGTACAATGCTGGCGGCCTTACTCGACTGCTGCATATGGCCTGATGAGTAGGGGGTACATTTCCTCCTCGCCACGTTTTGTCGACCATGTGGAGGAATGAGGATATCGGAGCCGGAAATATCGAGTTTCTTTGGAAAGATCTCGCGCCAACATATTCTAGGTTCCGTCATGTAGGTCCCCTTGCTAAACCCGAGTAAATGACGTGGTTCGAGTGCTTCATGCTTCATGCAACCACGCAAACGTACACTAGGCAACCATGCGATGACGGCGTACCTTGTCGTACACCACTCCGACCGAAGCGCACGGCAGGATTACCCTATCTGAGTTGGAGAAACCCAGGTTGTCCCTGGTATGACAGACAAGCGCGGTACACCCATGAGACATTGTTTTATACTCAATACAAACGATGAACGACACTGACCCGGAACTAACAGATGGGGACAGCAGCAGGGTCACCATATACTGCAGAAACGAGGGAGAAGCGTCAAGAGCCGGAGAGTACGAAAGCAACGAGACGAAGAGACAAGGCAGCAGAGAAGCAGCAGCAACAGGGAGTTGCCTCAAATGACATCAGGACAATACAGCTGACGGCTTTTGAGACGGATGTTGGTGGTGCAAAATGCTGCACAAGTGATCGGCAGAAACGTTGCGGCACACCATTACAAAGAGACTTCAACAGTCTTGCCGGTACAACACCCCAGGGTCTGCAATGTAGAACGCGAAGCGTAACATTCCGGGAAGCGAGCCGACGGTGAACGCATTGATTCACGAAGCTCATTGTAGCGAGAACCCAATCAAATCAGCACCGCAATGCATAACCGTCCTTAATAATCACCACCGTGCGTGCAGGAAGCACAAGAACGTGCATCCAACCACCTACTACACGGCACGAAGATCGCAGAATCCTCATGAAACCGACCTAGCCATCCCCGATGAGTTGTACCCGTGGGCGAACTCCAGATCTAACGATGCTATCCCAGCGGGGGGGGACCGTTCAGAGGTCGGCGCTGCCGCCGCCAGACCCGCTCCGGATTCCCAAGGACGTGCTGCTGTTGGTGCTGATAGTGATCGCGCCGCTGACTCCCGTTGATTGGCCAGCGCGAGCAGCTGAGGGTTTCGTTTGGCAGAGATGAGGAGCAACCGACGTTGCTTCGATCGAAAACGTTTCACGGGTCTTTCTCTTTCGAAAGTATCGCTCTCCTAGCGGACTCTCGCGAAGTGAATATCACCCATTTAGCACGGTGTACTACTGATTCAACCACTATTTTGCCTCGGCTTCGCAACCGACTGGCCATCGACTTTAGACAGCAATACCAACACAACAAACGGCAACAACTCAATGACAGAGCGCTCGACCGGCTGGGTCTCGTTCCGCGACCGCAGTTCCATTCACCTCCTGTTGCACCCACGGGTCCTTTTCCGCAGCTCCCGCACTGGAGGCATCCTCCATATTGCCGCCGGCAGCTTCGTCTGGGTGAACAACTTTCCACTTCACAATCAAACAAGCACCCGAACGAGTCGGTGGCGCAAGTGAGGGAAACGCGAAACGCATCCCCAAGAGTGATTGCCGGTTACGTGGTACACATAGACACGAGTCTGAGCGGATACTTTGCAGGTTCACTTGATCATTTTCAGGGTACCCACACGTTCGTTAGCTCAGATATTTTTTCAATGCGCGCGGGTTTCCGCCCGATGATTCCGTTTAACGCAACGGTTACGTTGCCGTACTCGCGCTGACATGATTGCTCGGACGTCTCTTGAGCAGAAAACATCTACAACCCACGGCCAAACCGTCGGCCCGTTGGTGGCCTATTTCCACAGTCGAAAACCCTCTAGCCGTGGCTTGCTACCCGTGGTGTTGCTTTGGTTGGCCCCATCATAGACTGGTCGAACCTGAGCCCCTACTCATCACCATTGTTCGCCTAACGGTCGATAATCACAATCGTAGACGATAACGCCGCTGCCGGGGCCCCGGCGCCGTCGCTGGCACGGTGGCACCCCGACATAGGCATGGAGTGCTTGAACCGCACTTCTCCGCCGGTAGTTTGCAAGAGCCTTTGATCCAGCCCCGCCAAATCCCGAACGCATTTTGGAAGCGGCCGTTATCAACGAAAATTCTCTGCACTTTCGCTGCCACGATCGAGCGCTGCATTCCCGCCTCCGGGCGCCCTCTTCGTGGGATGGTACAACTGCACCATGTTGTCCACGAGCGACTGGATTCCCACGGACTCCGGAGTTGGCACGTTCGGAAACGCGTTAAAGGCGGCATGAACTCGAATGAAGATGTGACAACCTAAATGCGAACGTCGCTAAAGACCACGTCCAAGCCCTTGTCGATTACCGTCGCGAGCTCATCACGCCGGCCGTCGTTCGTGTGAAGGTCATGGCGCCGCAGAACGTGCGCCCAAAACTGGGCAGTGGTTTTGTGAAAGGTCGCGGCAGGGGTTCTAAGACGAGCGATGTACGCGGCATGGGTGACCTCAGAAGAGCGCTGTCTGTCCTGTAGCAGTTGCGCTTGACAAGTGACGAAGACATCAAACTGGTCTTGAACCGGGGTACTATAGTCTTGGAACCCCCACACGCATGAGAGGCGGACGCTTCAAAGCATCCGACACGATGAAGTGACTCATAGTTTGCCGAAGGATCTTGTTCACCCTCATCCAGGAAGATCTGGATATCGCCATGCGATTTACCCTTGTCAGGATAACGCGCCCCACCAAAACGCCCAGAGCCCATTTCCTTCCAGTGGAAAAAAATGGGCAACCGTATCCTCTGGACCCTTCGTGGGGCGGGTTACTCTGACATGGGTAAATCGCCTGGAGAGATGCAGAGCCTTCTGGGCAGCGGTGTACAATGTACTTCGGCTGACTGCGAGTCAATTCGTCATGTCAGCGATACTGAAGTCTCCAACTTCCATGAGCGAGGGGCTCTAAGACTACCCCGTTACAAACCCAACTTGAGATCTCTCCACCCCTCAAGCGTAACTTCTTCAGTACCTTCTGACACCGACGATGTCGCCCGTGGACATCGCTCGTCTTCAACCCCGTAACCACGGCCTTTCACAAAAGCCATCTCCCAGCTTCGGGCGCACGTTGTACGGCGCCACGGTCTTTACGCGGACGACGGCTGGCGCGATGAGCTCGTGACGGTACTCGTCAAGGACTTGACACAACTCGCCAGGGACGTTGGCGAGTGGGTTGAATCATTTTCGTACGAGCCCATGCCGCCTGCCACCTTCGACGCGATTCACAACGCGCAAACCCCGGAACTCAAGGAAATCCAAATACTCTTGGACAACATGATGTAGATGTGCCATCTAGCGAATAAGGCGCCCAGAGGCGGGAGTACAGCCTTCGATCGCGACAACGTAAAGCGCAGAGCATCGTCGTCGTCGGTGGTGGCTTCCAAGCGCCAGAAATACCCGTTCGGGATCTGGTGGAGCGGAGCTGGATCAAGGGCACTTGTATAACGCGGGCGGGGATCTACGGTTTCAAGCACTCCATGTCCCTGTCGGCGCCCCAGCTTGCCGACGGCTACGCCACGTGGGTATCGAAAGTCCGCCTCCAAACAACTTTCTTGGACGAAGAAGGATAACATCGACCTGTGTGCTTGTCGGGCAACATACATGTGCAACCTAAACTAGAGAGCTCGTGCAGCGTTGTGTGCCGTCACTCCCTCCTACCTTCCTACCTGGGCGACGCAGCGATCTTTCCCCCCGACCGAGATGACCTGCTGGCTGCGGATGCCCTTGTCGAGGAAACACACAGAGCGCACTCCTGGGGCATGAACCTTGAACGCCTTGAAGGAGGCGCCAGCGCCTGTGGCGGGGTACCTGTTTCGGTTATTCGTCAAAGATGAAACAAGCGTACACAGCTACTGCATCAGTGATGAAGTGACTCAAGATCACGTGGTTTGGCTGTTGCCTGCAGCAGCGTGGATTCCGTTCCGATATCAGCTTGGGTATTGGACTCCAAGATTGTTCGATACAGGTAGAATGTTCATCACCACCACTTCGTTTTTGTCCCGCCTTGGCGACGATTCCCCTCACGTTGCTGCTCACACCAGTTTACACAAAATGCGACAAGCAAAGCCCTACATGTAGATGCCCAAGAAAATATGACCATGCAGAAGAATTCACTTGCAAGGGAAGCTTGCTGAAGTGATTCTCGTCCACCTGAGCGTCTCCGAACGCCGACCCCCGCAGTGCAACTAACGACAGAATGATTATATCCCGCAATAACAGGAAAATTATTTCGATGTAGCACTCGAATTCACAGAAAGCGCATTCGATAACTGAGACCTCCTCTAAACCCGACAGCCAGACATCCATTCCTTCGTCTCGTCCTCACCGCTACCCTAGCATCCACCCATCTCATTCGGTTTCACCTGAAGAGCTTGACATCGCCGCGAGCATCGGACGTCGCTAAGAGATTTCCCTCGAGCGAGCGGCAGCAAGACATCACATCTAGGGGACTGGTTGTATCGGCCGGCCACACACCGCTCACGTGGTCGCTACACAACCCAGACCACGTGGAAAACCCGACCACAGGATCCACGACCTGGTTGTTGTGCCGAGCGGGGGGCGGCAGGCATCGGCAATTGTTTATTGTTTTATGTGCTCATGACTCGCGAGAGAAACAAGAGCAATGCGTTGGCGCAAGACAATCAAGTCTTCGTACAACAACATCTACCTACTGAATTCGCGGCCTTCCCGTCGCGAATGTTCCCCAGGGAACGCAGATGCAGACGGCGGGCTGCTTCGCTCCTTAACGGTGTACATTTTCCAGGCGACCATCTATGAGATTTCTCATACATTGCGAGAGAGAAACGTTCGGAAAGGAAGTACGACAGGGCAAGCGAATGGGCAGGGGTTGGAAAAGAGATAAATCTCGCCGAAGAAGAACAACTGCGAACCACTTTATTTAGGTCGTGCCGTGATGTGGTGTCCAGCGCCCGAGAACGGACGGAAAACCTCACCGCCTGATCTTCGCAGATTTCCCCTGAAGACGCTGAAAGGAGGATGATGGCAAGAGGCGATGCTGTCGCGCCCTCGGCCTTGCTCCGCGCCTCGGCCCGTATCCAATTGCCGTCCTTGGAGAAGTCTATCCTCAGTATACCACCCTGACCCCCTTCGCCGATGCACTGAATTCAAGTAGCGATTTCGACGATGGGTGCGGAACACAAAGGTTTGCAGTGAGTTCAGACGTCTACATGCATGATTGTTGAACGGACAATATCCCACGTGCGTTTTCTACAGCAGGAGGGAATGCCCTCGCTAATCGTCAGCGTGGTCCGAAGACGACACCATGCCTGATTGGTCTCGTGCACCCGTGAAGCGTATTCGTACCACAAACGGTCCTGCAAGAGGTTTCTATTGGCAATTTGTCGTGGAGTGAGCTGGATACCCATTTTCACACGCGTCGCGGGGCTGCTTCTTCAGGCAGGGCTCGGGGAGTCACATGAAAAAAAAGGCATTGTGGTGCTTGCCGCTGAATACGATGTCGGAAAATCGAGTTACCGCTACATTGGTGCCCTGAGCAGCGAAGGTTTTCTTGAGATATAGACCATATCACCTATTGCAGAAGCCAATCACACGCCAATATGGAAGTATACCTCGAGCTTGAAGTTCTCCAGCACCGAGTAGATGTAGATATTGCCGTCGAGAGACGCACCCGCCATTCGGTTGCCGTCCGGGCTAAAGCGGATGCAGGTGATGGGCCCCAGGGCGTCCGAGAGGGTGTTCACGACGCGGAAGGCTTCTTCCATGCCTGTTTTCATCACGATTTTCGATATTTCAATTGCGAGTTCGAGTCGAGGACCAAACCCACACATGAATACCGTTCAGCGTATTATACGGGAAGCCTCATCACCGTAGGCGGCTCATTTGAATCCATTCGCAGGATCACCAACGTATGGCATTCCATTGGTACCGGCGGTGGTGGGGACCATGCTAACTCGATTGCCTCCGTACGCTATTCCAAAACGGCATTTTCAGCGGGTGTGGTGTCCAACGGGGGTGGACATCCGGTTGCCCTCGTTGCCGAAGGGCATCCAATGAATAGAGAGTGTTCGCCTAGACAGAACCTTGCGAAACAAAGATCATGAAAGTGTTCACATGCCACATAAATCGAGCACGGCTCTGTCCCCACAAAGCGCCCTCATTAAACCCTATCCTCACCAGAGACTATCTTGATCGTTCCGTCTTCTTCCCTCGGCGAGTGACGCTTGCCGTTTGCCTCCGTTTCCCCACCCATACCGCAGGCGATGAGCAAGCCGTTGGGCGAGTATCGTACGGCGCGGATCCAGCCTGAACGCCACCAACACACGAGGGCACATTCTCAGATCGGCTCAAAAAACGTGGGCTCAACAATCGCTGTGGGTGCAATCCTACACAAACAAGTAGAACCGTTTGAGGGCTCCAGTTTCCGCTGATTGAGCATGAGTGTTGTATTCACTCACTCCCGAGAGATCAAGTTAGGTAGTCACTCTGAAGAGGAAAACATCAAGCCGTCACCCAAGACCATAGTGAATTCTTCAATCTGATCAAGCCGAGCGTAGCTCTATAACCACACGCCGTCGTGTATCCGCACCTTCGAGATCGATCTCCCTGTTGAGAGCCAGGGTAGTCGCGTTCCACTCCTTCAGCATGCCTTCATCGCCCGAGCTAACGTACACCGGCTGTGTCAGTCAGGTTCGTAGTATGATACACGGATTAGGAGTCGAGGTGCTGCCTCTCGTTCAAAGGGAACCGTCAGAGACATCAACGTTGTGTGGCATCCAAGGCGAGCAGGTACAACGTGTGAACACTCTGACGTCGACCAGAGACACGAATTAGCCTTAGCAGTAGTTGTACTTCCGATATCGAAAGGGTAATGCTGTCCCAGTCGTTAGCATGCCCTCTAGGGATCACGTTCTACGCAAAACCACACCTTTGCTGGGTGCGACGCAAGACCCCATAGCTGGTCCCGGAAGTGGCCCCGCATCAGGCAGTCTCCGTCGTTGACGTCCGTCCCCTCGCTCGCGGAAATCTCGAAAATCTGAGTGGAGCATGTACGATGATCGCGTCCATGCACAATTAAAATGCACTCGAGTATCGCTATTGTATCTCCTCCACAAATTTGTTAGAGGGAGGCGTGCATGTTCCAGGCGGTGGTCGGTCTTTTCAGAGCGGATGGTCCTCGTCCTGACTTATTGGAAGGTGGTCCATGTGTGTTCGTGCCTACTCGAAGAAACATCTGTTCCAACCTCATCTGCTGCACTGTTATCGCCAGCAACTTCTCCCCATCGCCCCCAAGAGCTCGTCTCCATTCTGATCATGACTCCGACCCGAGTCATTGACGAAAGGTTGACTTCCACATTTGCCGTTCGATGGTCTGATACACGGTAATCCCAAAAGAACCGAAACCTTGGGAATCGACGCATCATGAGAACACCATGCCATGCAGCATACATTCATACCTCACTGCAAGATGTTCCGACGAGGATCTTCCTGCCGTCCGAGTGGTCGTTCAGGCACACTGACCGGACGCAGGGGGTCCCGCCCGATAGATACGGCCTCCCCACTAGATCAAACTCGTTCACCATACCGAGCTGCAGGGAAAAATTTGATCCATTTTCCAGGCGGAGCAAGTGAATTATCATGTGAATAGAGCTCTCTTATAGGCTTCGCAAGAACACGTGAGTTCACTCTGTCGAATAAGTAAGACTTTGCCCGGTGACCGGCGTTGGCATGAGCAACGCTTAACGTCTGCGTGGGGTAGTGTAGTAAAATGGTTCGCATCATCGGCAATGAATGATGCAAATACCGGAGGTGCTGGACGATATGAAGTGTCAATTCTGTTGAATCATGCCCAAATCACTGTAACTGATGGCTGAGAGAACTTCGTGCAACGGGAAGTCGCCAAACCCTTCGCAACGACCGACGATTTTCACATAGATCCTTTGGCACGGCGCGTATCGTGCTACGTTCTATGAGAACACGTTGAACGGCCAGGGAACGCTATGAATGACTTTGGTTTCTGCACACCATGCTCTTTTTTACTTGGACTTTCGTTCATACTCTTGGGGTCCTACAAACTGGTGCTACCTTTTCGTGATCACGAGACATCACGAATACCTGTGCGGTCCCAAGATATCTATGTCATACAATACTTTATATAGTCCGTTATCGTAAGATGTTGTCAATGGCCCCAGACAGCCCCCATCTTCTCTAAATCACCTCAGCGTCCCAAGTCTTGATCTTTCCGTCACCGCCTCCCGTTACCAGGCATGTTCCTGAGCCGTCCGGCGCGGGGTAGGCATAGAGCGCGTACACCGGTCCCTCATGGCCCTCGATCTCCGAGGAAACCTTGCGGCCTCCATCGAGCCTGTTCGAAGAAAACGCCCGAAAATATCATGCTTTCAGACCCACCTGACTACTATCAGAGACCAGTGCTGTCTGACCAGACTACAGCGAACCCCGAATCTGCCAGGTTCGGCGCTTCGATCTCACCTCGGAACTTTCCAGTTTCATTCAGCTCTCCACCCCAAAGCGCGCATCCTTTTCATTCGACCCATCCCCCGTGTAGCACTTTTCAAGTTATCCGTCATTAAATGAAAGAGGTTGGGTGTTTCGCTGAAAGGTACGATTCTGGGTGTACACAGATCCCAGGTATACAACTCCTGGAAGGTATGTGTGCAGATTCTGACTATGTCTCGGTAAAATGTTTTTGGTAATTCGTACGATGCCGATGAAGAAGGTGGCACACGCGTGTTCTCACTTGAGCAGGCTGCCGCTGGAGCCGCCCAGGATGAAGGAGGAGCCCCCTCCCTCCCCGTTTGATATCGCCACGGCACACGTAAGGGCTTGCACCTGTATCCCAAGCGATTCAGCGGACAAAGCAACAAAAGGGTCAGACAAATCGACTGGCATTTCCTGTAGAAAGTTCTGTCGCATCGGGGGGGGGGGGGGGCTGAATACATCAGCATTACTTGCTCCAACGCCTTCTCCAGGGACAGACTCTGGCATAGTTCACTTCATGATTTGGCGTCCCTTGTTCAACCGAATCGGTGTCTATAGCATGGTGACCAGGGGGGGGTGAGTACTTGCGGGTGTTCCATGTAGACCACAGGCGGCGGCTCGGAGTCAAGCAAAAATCAACAAAGCAATACTTCGAGAGCTCCTCCTCTATTCATGCGCTATATTTGTCGCTCCTCACCTTCGAGCCTGAGCCAAACAGACCTCGCTTCCCCTGCATGAGCCCGCCTCCAGAAAGCGTCCAGACTTTAAAGTGCTTGTGGCCAACGGCCAGCAGCTCGTCGGAGTTGAAACTGAAGCACATCGACAACGCCTTCTTCACCCCCAACCTAGCCTGGCACCTGTTGGCGGCAACACGCGAAATGCAGTTCATTGCGAGTGAACACTTGGCTGAACATATCCGCCCGAACATATGCTGTTTCGCGAAAGTGTTGGTAAACGAACGCTAATGTGCCTTGGAAGCCTCATGGGCGCAAACAAACTTTACAAGTGAGATATTACCACATCAATGAAAATTTTGTAGTTCGAGTGTAATCGACGTGTTCCTCTAGATATTCTCCAACTTACCGGAGAAGGCCGGACTCCCAACGGAACACCATGACCGTGTGGCCCTTGTCCTCGCACGCTACAGCCAGCAGCTTCCCATCGGAGCTGAAGCACACCTGAGGACCCATCGACAATGTTGTCCAGCGACGGGGTTATGATGGAACTACTGCAGTCATTCAACCTTGGAAGGAGCAATTTACTCGTTGAGACTGGGCATGAAGCAACTGGGTGCGTGGAATCATCTTCAGGTCTTTAGGTCTAGACGCTCAGCACCGGTACGTGATTTCGCCTTCCCAAACATCCTTGTATGTGAAAGCTTGTTGTCAAAGACCGATAGCTATGCTGTAGCTTTTTGTGCACGAAAGAACTCGGAACATCTCCCAGATCTATGAACGCATTTGGGTTCTTGTTGTGCCGGCTTGGAGGCATGTTGGTTCGGATGTCTTGGTTCTGTTTTCTGGAGTCTCAAACAGAGAAGTATCAGGTAATTCCGCTGACAATATGAATTAATTGCTAATATTTCTTAGACGCTTGTCTATGGAAGAGATGGATCGTTGTGTGATTAAAGAATATATATATATCATGGGAGTTCTCATTCTGCTGCATCGCTGCTCCTGCAGCAAGAGCTTGATGGACGCGTGCCCACTGAACCCAAGGGCCACATATGTTGAAGAATACAAAGTGTGCACGCTTGTAGCACACAGTCCGCTTTGGAGGGTCACGCGGCATTGGAGGGCAGCAGATAGCTACATCGAAATTCGGACCAAGATATCAAACATGTCGTAGTTTTTCTCCCACTCACCCACCCCTTTTCTTTGGAAGGTAAGGGGGTGTAGAGAACGTTACGGGTGAGGACTCAGCCACCGATGTCTTGCGCAAACTACTCGTCGTTCCAAAGACTTTCACACGAGTTCATCCTCAGCATGAAACATGAATAAAATTGCACGTTCGTACCTGCGATACCCCTTTCTTGTCGTCGCCCAACTGCAAGCGCGCTTTGGTCTTCAAAGGTCTACTCGCGGAGTCCCACACCAAGACAATTGGGCAGGAGCCCTCCTGTCCCGTCGCCACGTGGGCTTTGTCGGGGTGCATCGCCAAGCAGGTGATGGCCTGGGGCGATGAATGAATGGCGTAGTCACGAAACCGGGGGCGCGTGAATGTCCCATTTTCGATACATCAGCCTAAATTCGTACCACGAGGGGCTAAAATGAAAGTGTTACTATTGTTTGGGACGACGAGTTCGAAGCAGACCCGACTCATGGACTACTCTGAGCCAGCAAACAAGCTGAGGTACTCACGTGCTCCACGTTGAGAACAGCGGAGGCATGTTTGACGTCAACAACAGCGCACGGGAAACGTTAGCTTGGGGGGCGCTCACTTTTCAATACGTGGCGAAAGACCTTTTTCACATGATGAAGAAAGGGTGAAAGAGTTGCAGTGACTCAGAGAAGGTGACAGGTAGTTTCACCTGGGTGTGGTCGAGGTTGTAGGTCTGCCTGTGCGAAAGCGGCTTGGTGCGCTTGGTCATGACCACTCCGGCGCACGCCGCGGGGTAGACGATTTCGCCGTTGCAGTTATACACGAGGTTTTGCCTCGACCCCTGGTTGGTGAGACACGTTTGTTGAAGGTGGCGGACACGGTGAGGTTTCCCAAAGGTGTTGGCGGTTTGGCAGCGCTTTGCCGCAGACTTCATATTCCGTGTACCACGATTCTTCGACAACACCGACCCTATGTTGTCGTGGCTGGGTTTGGAAAACAGAAAACTTGGAATGTTTTTAAAGCATCTGGCGAAATTTGAATTCCCTGCTTCGGCCGTCCACACCTTGGCCCCTATGACACGATGTCTGCGGCATCCCCAACCTACAGCGACCCTCGCAAGCGTCTTCTCTGAGTACGGTTATAGACACGATTATGGATCCACCTGCGCCGAGTATCCATGGATCCACTCCAGCTCCAGGTCATCGTCGGGAATGCACGGCGCCGGCTGGGAACTAGCCGCTCCTCGCAGCCAAGACGGTAACATGGAGGGCAACGATTCGGACTCCGCGCTTGCCTGTTGCGTAAGGAAAGCCGATATGTCCTGGCTGCCGGTCGCGAACCTAGATCCAGGCTGGCGATGGGGTAGGCAGCGGGGGATGCGGTCCAGTCGGTTTGCGACGACAAACACTTCTGTATCCTAGTGTCCGTCGCCGTTTGTTTCTGTGTCTCGGCGGCATGTACGGAAGCACCGGTTTTCATTCACTCTGTCTAGTCCGGAACGCCGACCGGGACCCCACATGTTGGACCCCCTTCACGAGAATTCAAGTTCATCACAACAGGGAGCGGGTATGCAGACCCTATCCCTGACTCTAACGTAACCCTGACCCACCTTCCCCGATTGCATGCCCTATTTCAACATGTTTACGTAGCCGAATAACCCTGCGAAGGCTACGGGCGCCTATTCGGCGAATAGTCCCGTTCATACGAGAATCGTTCACACACACACCTCTTTCGGGGCGTTTCCGACCAAGTCTTCGTCGTCTCCTGACCAGGCGGCAGCGGCAACGTGCTCGCCTTCCTCGTCTTCGTCGCCGCCGTCGGCTTCCTCCTCTTCATCGTCCTCTCCGCCAGAGGCTTTCTTCGGGACCGGGGCGTTGCAGGCGGGGGGGTCCGGGAGCTCTTCGCCGCTTTCCTCCCCTTCTTCGAGAGCCACCGCCCACTGGTACACGCACCTGCGAAAAACAGTTGCAGTGTTCGCGAAGAATTGCCACCGCTCACCGACAAAGCAGCTGTGTTCAGATGTATGTTTGATGTTTGTGTCACCAAATATTTTAATGACCTGCCCTCTTCTTCCCTCCAGACCCATGGACACCCATCGCGCACAAGTAGCTTGTTCACCAAGCTATCAGTCAGAGTAGGTGCAGGAGCGGTGTGACATTCAGCGGCTTCTGGTGACTTTCTCCGGAAGGTACAGCTACTACCTCAACGTTTCAAGACTGCCATGGTTTGTACTTATGGCTGCCATAGAGAACGCTTTAGCATCCGTCCATCAGGCTACAACCCACGCTGTTTATCCACCTACTCCCTCTCCCTCGGGGAAACGCTTCTTTGAATCGTGGTGGTCAGCCTCGTTGCACCTAGAGATGCGAGTCCAAGACTACGATAGCTGCCCAGGTCGCGTCAAAGCGGGTTACAAGCGTCGCGTCCCACCGGAATCTACCTTCACAAGGTCAAGACAACGGTGCTTGTTCGTCCGTGCCCTTCATTTTTCCCGCCGTCTTGTCGCAGACAGCCCCAGCTCACGCGAGACACCGCACCGCCGACAATCTCAGACCCACCTGTCAGTAGCTCCTAGCGTGAGGACTCCGCCGCCGTCCCCGATCTGCCTCGCCGCCGCTACCTTGCCCGCGTGGGCCTTCAACGTGGAAACCTGTGAGTCATCAGAATGGGGGGAATAGTAGCAGTACAAGGTGCAGGCATGATGTTTATGGCACCCGCAGATCGTGAAGGGAATGTAGGAAGTGCAAAGTGGAACAATGCAGGAGTAGCACAGAGGAATACGCGGGGGAGCGTTTCTACATAGTACCGGTGAGTAGAGCTCCTCCTCGAAGATACAACACAAAGAGTATCCTATTTTGGTGCTGGTCTATCCAGTAAGACAGGGAAAGAAAGAACTCACATGAGGTACAGCAGCCTCGACGGCCTCGGCCATGACGGCAGCCGCCGCCGCCGCCGCTGCTTCCACTTCCTCCGGGCTTGGTGGCGGTGGAGCATCAGGATCAGCGACCTTTTCCTCTCCACCAGCACTCTCTTCCGCCGAGGGCGCAGCGGCACCCGCAGCGTCGGCATCGCTAGGGGGCGCCATCTCGGGCGGAAGTTTAGCCGGGTAGCGAAGGAACCCTACACGACCGAGACTGTCGGACGCAAGCAGGACAGGCGCATCGCCTCCCCGAACCAGGTCGGAACCGGTCAGCGTGGCGGCCGGTGGAGGTGGCGAGGGTGACCCCGTTGTTGCGGTGTCTCCGTTGTTGGTGTCGTCGTCGCCGTTGCCATCGTTCTCCGCCGACGATAGCAAGGTCGCCCAGGCAGCCTGTTTCCCGTCCGTCATGGTGCATGTGGACGTCGCCCAGGTGGCCACCTCCCCGCCCTCGCCCTCGCCCCTGTCGGAGTTTGGTTCGGGTGCATCCACGAGGACAACGAGGAGTACCTTGTCGTGGGGCGGACGTCTTACTACATCGTTTTCACAGACGGTTGGGGGAGGAGTAGTACATAGCGTACCACCTGCACACACGATTTGTGTCCTTCATTCTCACCGGAGGGCTTTCATGTCCTTGGGCGAAGCTTTCTTGCACGTTTCGGCGTTGATCACTATCATTTCCATTCCGCTAGAGTTGAGCATCAAGAATCGCCCGTCCGCGGTGAAGTCCATGCCCACGACCGATTCCGACACCTTTTTCCCCGAGTATACGAACACATTCCGGACGGAGAGGGGCACGGTAAGGCGTAGGAAGAAAAGTAGCTTTGAAGTTGCCTTGATGATTCCCTGTCGAACCGACTACCCTTCCATATGCTGTTGTGATCACGATCACTGCGCATTCTTTCGTCTGTCGTTTATCCTACATATTGACGATATTCTGAGACCTATATTCTTCACCCTTTTTCTGTGCTTCTACTAACCCCCGGCAGGACCATATTTTCTCACAAAGACAAAGACCTTACTCAGTACTGCAAAGAGTACGAATTTTGTTTCGTTGGCACTTGATAGTAGCCTTTTCATGCCGCCTTTTCCCAGCAGACACAGACGATGCGCCCATGAACATCATGTTCCGTGTACTCATTTGCTGCTGACACGCCCTTCCCTTTCTACACATGAAAATCTTCTCACTTACCACGTTCTCCGCGGACCCCGTGGCCTCCCAGTCACTCTCCGCCGTGCCCCACGCCTTGACGCTACCGTTCCCGCCACCCGCCGACAGCGTGGTGCCGCTGGGGGAAAAGCGGACGCAAGTGGCGCCTCCGCTCCCGGCCCCGGCCCCTTGGAACGCGTCGAGTTGCTAGGCAATGTAGAACACGCCGACAAATACCGGAGGATCAAAAGTGGTGCCATTTGTTTCTAAAAAGTAACAAGCCTCGAGCAGCGTAACCGGCAAACTGTGGAGGGCCTTCTTTCTGAGACGCAACAGCTCCGTCAACAGAATAAATCCTACAAAGGAAAAAAAAACGGAAAGCATTATTACAACGCCTAAACGATAAAAGGCAGGTTTCCATTATTGCTTTGCTGTGGACTTGTTGCGACGGAAAGCGATCCAAACCATGGCCTAGAATGTTGGACGGTTTCGGGGGTGGGCATCAGTGTGCGCCGGTGCTGTTGGCCCCGACGCGGGCAATTTCACTCGGAGATGCTTGGAGGCTACGAAGGGGAACCCATGCGTGAACGAGCAGCACATTGATTACGAATGAAGCTTGAGAAACGAGGGATGCTTGTGATCGACGCTACGACCGGAAAAACAAAATGACGGAAGCAGCCACAGATATTCGGTAAATTGGAAGTCAGGACGGCGGTTTCTACGCGTTTCCCCGGACGAAACCCGCAAAAAATACTGATGAAATGCTGTCCTCTTCGCTGCTAATCCCGTCCGTCTCCCGCGAATTCAAAAGCCAGCCACCTTTTCAAGCTGAAGAATCGTCACGTCTTCCTCGGATGGCTTCACCACCGTCACGCCGCCCCCGCCCAAGCCAACCGCGATGAGAGATGCATCCGGAGAGTACGATACCGACAGCGCCGGGGACCTGCACAGCAGCATGTTGAGATTGAGCCACAACATCATCACGTGTTGTTGTGTTGGCCCGCAGTCGAGCCTCTTTGCGTGTGATTCTAAAGCTTTGACGGGATATGCAGCATGGCTAGTGAAAAGTGGCCTACGCTGCCGCTGCTGATGTTCGTGGTACTGCCGCCCGTGACGTTATAACTGCACTCTTGATGTGACGTTAGATGTATTGACAAAACGACACATGGAAACGACGCACCGACAGGCAGATCGCGTTACGAAGCACGAGTGAACACCTGCCAACAGAACATCTGTCCATATTCAGTCATTTCGCCCCGTCTACTTGAGCAGTGCCAACAGGTGCAGGATTTGGATTTTCGGTCCTAAAGTTACGTGGGTCTTCCGCGCGACACCAAACCCACTATCAAGATCCCATCATGATGCTAGGGAAACGTTTCCGACTAGGATACGTCCACTCACCCGATATTGAAAGTCTTGATGACTTTTTTGTCGACATTCGACCAAACGCGCACCGTTCCGTCGTCTCCCACCGTCACGAATTGGTCCTGACAAAGGTGTTGTTGTTGCCGTTGTTTGGAAGCTTACTCATCTTGACTTCGGCCACGTATATGCGTGAGCCTTAGTGGGTAGTACCCGCCACGCCACCCGCCTTATCGAACCCTCCCACACAGTTTCCCACCCTACTGCCCTGATGCCCCCATCCACACGGCAAACCTGCTGCAACCATCTTCTTGAGCCCCCCCTTTGTTTTGCTCCCTTGCTGCAGAATGATACCGTTGGACAGGGCTTGACTAATAATTATGTGGATGTGTATCCCTACCTTTGGGTGCACTGGTTGCGCATCCATTCATTATCTCACAACTCACCCCTTGCGGAGAGACATCGACGCCCTTCAGCTCTCCCCCGGTCCCGGCCGTATCCCCCTTACAGTGCCCGCACGCGAGAGGCTGCCCCCCGTTGAGAACTCGACCGATTCCGGAGGGCTTCGCCTTTGGCACAGCACCTTCTCCTCCGTCTTCCGCATCGGCCGGCGGCTATTGCCCGCGTGTGGAGTGCAGTCCGCGCATAGGGTTTGGACGGAGTGAGTACATCAGTTTTGTCGAGACCCTATTGTCGAATTCCAAATGTTCGTGTAACGGCCTCGTTCGAGGGTAAGGATGACATGCTCCTGGCACGGTACCACGGGTTCGAGCTACGGCGCAAATCAACCGGTACACAGAATGTTGACGGGTTCACTTCAAATTTGAACAAGTGACACAAAACGTAGTCCTTGTGTTGTCTACGTACTCTGTGGGATTGCGGCATATGATGCTTTGTTCTGCACAAGAGGCTTACCTCCTCTTCTTCCTCGCCATCATCGCCCCCGCTCGGTTTCTCGACCGTGGCGAGCTCGAGGATGTCGCTTCCGAGGGTGCCCACGAGAACCTTGGTGCCGTCCGAGGAAAGGCAGATCGACCGCACTTGTCGAAGGCCGGCCACCGACGGCGTCGCCATGACATCGAGCGTAGCCAGGGGCGCCAGGTCAACGATGGACCATAACTTTACCTGAGATGTGCAACGTGGGTGAAACCCGTCAATGTTGCCGAGTACGATGTATCAGATGTATGTGAGGAAACTCGATAGGTGCAGTGAAAATAACTTCAGTAGGATGTTCCGCTCCCCCTAGCGCAGATGGCGGCACCCTGGATGAAATTTTTCCGCGATCTTGAAATATCACGTTAGACGGGGTGGTGGTCAGGCCATCTTTGGAATGAATGGCGGACGCGACAATGAGTTTCACACGTTTGCACCCCCCACGACGGAACGCTTGGGACCTATTTGAAGACCGAAACTCCGCAGCACTACAACAGAATTCCACTGGACAGTCACGAACACAGCGTCTTACCATAGGAGCACTTCTCCGGCTATTATACCAATACCAACAACAACAACAACAGACGACGCTCACTTTCGCATCGCGTCCACCCGAAGCGACCACTGCGCCGCCAGCGATGGTCCCGACCGACAGAACCTCCAACGCCGCGGAGTGCGCGTCCTTGACGGCCTTGGAGCAGTTACGCCCCCTCCACAAGCACAGGCCACCGTTGGCGGTGCCGGAGATCATGCAAGGAGGTAGATTGGCGTTGGCGGTTCCCCGTGGACCTGTCAATGATGGACGTTGAGCGTGTCATGGACGTGTGCGACGCGAGCAGTTCAGGCTCCAAGTGGGGTAGGTCCAGAAAGGTGTTGTATGCGAAGGCGGTGTTTGAAGATGCTACAATAGTAAGGGAAAAGACGTCGGACCCCGATGAAATAACCGAACAACGGCAAGCTTGTGTAAGGTAACACGGATAGCAGAAGCCAATAGGTGCATGCCAGACACGAACACCGTCGCGTTTAAAACGGGCGAAGATGTACGACAAAGACGATGGCAGCAGCAGAGGCAGCAATAACGATCATTCAACGACAACGACAACGACACCACCAACAACAACAAAACGTCATTTCATCGCTCACCCGGGGCGGCGCAAACGACCAGCTGGACGTCAGAGGACGGGGCAAGGTTTCCGTCTCGAGCGATGCCTCTGCCAAGGCCCCACAAGAATATGAAGTAGAGGGGGGGGCAGCACGCGTCGATACATCGGACACTTTTTTCTTGAGGGCAACGATCAAATACAAGATGTGTGGGGAGCTTGGAGGACACGCACACAGGGTTGGAGTGATACTGAGATTCCCTGGGACGATAATCGTGGATGACTGATTTCATCTCTTGAGCTGGACAGGAAATGCGAGACAACAGCAGAAAAGATGTTGCTACACATGCTGTTTCGAAGCAAACGCAAACGAAAATCTCAACGTTTCCTCGACCGAACATTCTGTCCACCCCCACTCGCATGGAATAGTGCTCACCTCAGGCGACCTACTGTACTTGAAAATGCTACACTATGGCCTAGCTCATAGCTGCTTGGCGGGATGAAGTATTGGGATTTAATTCCTGGGATGAAAATAGGTTTAGGGTTGGCGACACCAATTTAACGCAGAATACTCGATGGTTGTAGGGGTCTCGACTCGCCTTTTCTTGGCGAAGGAACCCGTCGACGCCTCCTTCACCCAGAACACCAGGGGAGGGCTGTCCTTGTGTGTCTGGCCGCACGTTACGAGAGAGCTGCCGTCTGCGGTCCACGCCATGCCGAGCGGTCGGCTCAAGCCAGTCCTTGGGGTACAGGTACACGCCGGTTTGTTTTGAGTTGGGTCGGAGGCAGGGTTCGCATGGGAGCAGTCGTAATGAAGCTCGAGACCCCCGTCTCTCAGTGAGATGGAAAGAGGGCTGTTTTTCGATCAAATGAAAAAGCCGTCGCGCGCAGTTTCTATCTCCCCTCTACCGCCCTTCTTATCGAAGAACTCCGATCCGGGGCCGCACGGAAGGATTCCAAGGCGATGCATTGCTCCTGATACATTCTAGCACGCAGAGGGTTCAACCGTCCGCTCCTCAAGCATGCTCACGAAACGCCCATTCGACTCCCAAGCATGACCCGCGCAGCAACAACCACTCCCCGGGATACCTCCATTAATTCCAAACAACCCGATACGAAGTGATTAGAGCATGCGGCGCCCCTCCCCTGAAGATACATTTGTCGGATCCACCTTTATGACAGCCCAGAAATGAGTTTTCGCCACACGTACGGAGGGATCACTCGTGGTCGTGCTATTCACTAAAGGACCCAACGAAGCAATTTCTCGTTTTTGATTCCGAAACGCGACGTCGGGGCGTGACCCACCTCTTGTCTCCAACCCTTCCTCAACCCCGTTCGAAAGCTGACGCAACGGTCGTTTTATGACATTTCCGCCCCCAAGAAAGGCTTTCTCGTAACCTTACGCTTCTGTTCCACCGAGAATTGTGATCTCCCCGAGGAATTTCTACGCAACCTCTCCCAAGAGACTGTTTCTCTTCGCCGAGTCCGACTTCTTTCAATGCAGTGTAGTCGCAAATGTTCCTCACCGGGTCCCGAAGACAGGCCGTGCTGTCGAAGCTTCGACGATTTGCAGGCAGTGGTGCTCGTCAGCCCCGGTGGAGGCCAGCAGGCTCCCGCAGGGTGACCACGCCAGACCGGCAACGCCTACCGTGTGAAAACCTGCGGCCGTCATCCTGATCTGCTTCGTTGTGGCGTTCCAGACAAACACCTGGGAACAGGGTTTTGTGTGTGCGGCCAAGCAGGCAAGGTTTCTTGCGTCAGAAGTGGTGTCTGTCACGGTAGAATGCAGAAGTGGCAGGTCCGCCTACCGTGACCGGGGAGTCGGTTGCGCATGGGGATTGGTGGAGAGTTCGCATTAGACGTAGAGCGTGCATACACCCTAACTCTTTCAGTCCGTTCACCTTGGGTTGGGCACCCGCTTCTCCGGTGGCGACCCACTTGCCGCAAGGGCTCACCGCCAGGGCCGTGATCTCGTCCGTGTGTTCCTGCATGAAGGTTTGGGCCCTGTCACCTGGACAAGAACAAAGAATAAGAAAAGGTAAGACCGCATGCAGGCTGATGTTGAGGAATGGAATCAGCCCTTAGCAGTACATCACAGCAATGTAGGGTTGGAGGATGGGGTGAACTTGAGGTTGCACGCATCCATGCCGACATTAAAAACCGTCACCGTACACTACTCCCTGCGTTGTTGGTTGGTTTTGCGGCACGGTGTGGCAGGACTCCGCACAGAGAGAGACGTTCACAAGCACTGGCTACGGCCGGTTCACACCTTCCACCTCCGCTCCTTCCTCGTCGAGCGGTTGGGCTAGCACCACGGCCACTTTCCCGGCAGGATACACCACGCCCACGCCGCCGCCACCACCACCTGATGCATCGCTGCTGTTCGTCACCGAAAAGTAACACGCCGAAGCCCGAGAGTAAGCCGCGGAGTACCCGTACACCCACTCCAGGGACAGCTGCGTGTCTGGGGCCGGGGGCGCCGGCGGTGGCGGCGGGGGCGGCGGAGGCGGGCCGTCTTTTCCGGCGGCGGCGGCGGCGCCGTCGCCGTCTTCGCCGTCATCCGCTTCGGCGTCCTCGTCGGGGTTTTCCCCCTCCTGTCAGGAGAAGAACGGTGTAAGTGAAGCAACGCACCGAGGGTTGTTGGTTCGGATTAAGCCAGTGGCAGAGAAGAGGAGAATGGAAGGGGTCCGGGCTGATGGTAGGTCAATGGGGAGGTGGGAGAGCGAGGTAGACCGCCATCACCACCTCCTGCTCCCAATGTATTGAAGGCCATCTTGTTGATGAAACATACCACAAATACATGGCAGACACAGACGGTGACAACATCCCAATCAACCTAGTTGTGCGTACCCTTCATCGCGCATAGAAATACCTAGCTTTGCACAATCAACCGCGAAAAAATACTTTCGTGCGTATGTACCACCGCACACATGCACGTACGAGCAAGAGGTCGTGTCATCAAGCAAGAAAAAACACGCCTGTCATCGCCAATGCCCTGGAATACTTCGTAAACTCATGCACATGCGGACAACATGACAGTTTTGCACCGCGGTGTCTCCCCATCTCATTTGAGCCGAGACAAGGAAGCGCAAGTGACATCACTACCGCCCCCGGGGGAGATTTTCGCCGCTGTTGACACTGCTTTTAACCCCTCAGAGGCGCTCCCCCGCACAGAACTCTATTTCCTTCTGGGGTTACCTCAGGGGGGGGTGGGGGGGGGACAAGCTCCTTGGCGGCCTCGACCCACGCTCCCTTGGGTGGAGGCGGCGGCCCGCCCTCGGCGCGCTCGGTGACAGTGCCCGCGTTGGCGTTCTCCTGGGCCCGCGAGCGCGGCGCAAAGACCGCCTCCTCTTCGTGGATGTCCGGCGCGGCGGTCTCGAGAACGGTCGACGGGTCGCCTCCGTTGGCGTTGGCGTCGCACTTCTGAGGAGGATCCGACAAAGAAGCAGGAAGAAAAGGTGAATGGAATAGTGAAGGTGGGACGTGGCAGCAGAGGAGAGGAGAGGAGTGGAGTGGAGAGGAGAGGAGAGGATACAAGCTTGCCGTGTACGAGATATACCATCGTGACCCCGTGTTCCCTTTCGCTGGTCTTGCTATCTTTGCGTTCAGAATGTGAGCTTGTGTCTTTCGTTGAGTTTGCGCATTGGGGACGATAAAATACTCGAAAGATTGAGATACACACCAAACCACGGCAACGGCTAGGTACGCCGGGATGGGAACAAATACATTAACCCTTATGTGACTAAAGTCCTGATTGCAGTTCCGACTACTTTGTTTGCAGAAAGATCAAAGCAAACAAACAGGACGTCTCCTCGTTGCAGTATCATCCTTGACGCCTTGTTTCGTGTGTGCACAAATGAAAGTTTTTATTATTACATTCGCCTTCCAAGAGCAGGTCTCGATCGAGGAGGAGGCGAAAACCTAAAGTCAGAGTAACCCAGTCACGCAAGGGTTGATACGATCGGCCATACCTGCCCCTCGCAGTCATCATAGAAGGCAAGCCAGCTGGAAGCCACAGGGTTGGCGTCGCAGTAGCTGGACAAGGTGTCAAGGGACAAGCCTCCTTCCACGCCGGTCTTGTTGTGCATAAACACCTTCATCCAATATTATTACCGATAAGATAGATATTAGCATGATTGCCAAGCTTTTCTCGATGCGCATCTAAACACGATGGGCAGACTGCGTCGTCAAGTTTCCTGTTTCAGATGGCAACAGTGGTGAGAATTGTTTTGACCGTATAGCCACAATTTGAACAAAATTCCCCCTTCGATCTCTTGTTTAGTCGATGCTGCATCCCGCTCGCTATCAGGCTATCGCTCAACTCCACAGTTATGCATCATATACATGGGTCGAGTCTACGATCGCCAGTTGGATCCTCTCGTGCTCGTCACTCTTCTACGAACCAATTCCGCCGTACGTAGACGCCGATACAACACAATACAAGAAATGATACCGTAGCAACGAAGGTGAAGGCACCATCGTACGCTGGGCTGGTGGCGCCACGTGTTGTTTTGTTTCTCACAAGGCTTGCAATGGATTCCAAACGCGCGGAGTCGGGGGCGTCGATGCCGGACAGCTTGCAGAGCCCGGCCGAGGTACTTTTCAGCAGCAGGAAAAGTTCGTTCATGCTGAGGGTGGATCTCCCGCCCACGTCGTAGCACGAGAACACGAACTCCACCTGATGCGAGGTCATGGCCGTGCGTACGATTGAGCAGCCTGCGAGCTGTGTACGTGCCATTTTCTGGAGGGTCGCAAGTGACAACACTACAGGAGACGCTCCATGTTTTTTTTCTCTGCATTTCAAATCCTAACAGCGCCCACCTTGTCTTCGCGCGGCATCCCCGAGAGCATCCCAAGCGTGGACATGAGCTCCAGGCCATCGACGAGGTTGTTCTGGGATGGTTCAAGTTTGCACGTTTGAAAAAAATATCAAAGCACGCCGGAACAGCGGTCGATAAGAAAGGTGTGGGAAGACGTTTACCCGGCGCCTTGAAAGTACCCTGGCGAGGAGATACTCTCCAACTAACTGTGGTTTGTGGGTCCGCAGGAGGCGTAACATCTCACCTTGTCTGTATCGAGAGCAGCGAAAAACTCTTTGTTGGCGACCTCGTTCGCTTCAGTGCCTATCGACTTAGCCATAGCCTGGCACAGCTGGTTGAAGAACTTGGGGCTCACCCCCCAGCCAGTGGCGCACAAGTTGAACTCCTGCCATAGCGCTCGGATGGACTCATCAGGAACTTGAATGACCATGCATGTAGGAAAATGATAGGAGCACACGCGGTAACGAGATACGGCATCGACCATTGCGAAGGTGCAGGGTTGCGTTGGCATGTAGTGTAAGCCAAAGCAGCTGAAAATGTGGCTCGTAGTAATCTACAAGACCGTACTGGAGCTATCAGCCTGTATGGGTAGACTACTGAAGATAAGAAGCGTTCGGAAACGAGACTGAACATTATTGAGGGGCAGGGCCCAAGCTAAAGTAGGCTGAAATGTTAGGATACTTCGTGGTCTTGTATTTGAGGTCGTATTCTTGGCTGTGCAGTGCCGTACGGCAGCGAGTACTCGCATTAATCATCGATCGCATTGTGAAGGTGGCATGATTGCACGGCTCTGGCAACAGGGCTGTGGTACCCTACAAAGAAAACAGAAAACCACACGCTGTAGATAGAAACAACCTCCGCAATCAAGGCTTATGTACGTCTATTGGCGCGTGTTCTTGGTGTACGCCTCACCATGACGAATGTTTCCATATTTTGACGTGCCCTTGTCATCATGAAAGTTTAAGTTTCTTCGGCGATGGGTAGGTGGTAAATCATCGCCGCCGCATCTACGCCACCCCGTGCCGAATTTCAGGAACCTCTCTCAAATCCCCACCTTTTATTGCAGTGTAAAGGGAAGAGGAAAACCCATAGGTCTACACAATGAACTGCAAATACAACAGGAGGATCAAGCAGCCCCCTTGAGATTTACGGTATCTCCGTCGGCTACTACAGCAGTACAACACCTGAAATCTGTGCAATGTGGGTGTTTTGTTTGGTTCCAGATCTTGAAGGATCAAGAGGGGACACCACTCCGTCATCCCACGCACGTCGTGAGATCCCGCACGAGTATGTGTTCGTGCTTTAAAATTCAATCACAGACTACACAAGGCACTCACGGTTCACGAAAGGCTTGACTACATCCCCGAAGCTGGCCTTGCCAACTTTCTGGCCCATGTTGACCGCTCCGTTCGCTCGTGCCGGGCACTACAGTACTGAAGATGTGGCGATCTCGAGAAATGGAGGATCCTCTGTGACGTCATCCATGCATTGCCAATAGGTAATCGGGAGAGAGAGAGAGAGAGAGAGAGAGAGAGAGAGAGAGAGCATCATGAACACTAAGCAAAAGAGCGGGTGAGCGTAAGATCTGACGGTTACACACAAAGAGAAATCCAAGAACAGCCATAGAAACCCACGCCCAACGTGCTACCATCTGCGTACCCCCTAAAATGTCTCCCCGTCTCCCCCACACGACGGACCAGTCTGTCACACCCAGCGTCTGCTGCAGGACGAGCCCGCGGCTGCAATAACACCCTTGGCACCTGTAGCACTGTTCGCTCAGTCTCTCGGTCCACCATGAATCCCCGCTCTCTGCTCGCGGCGATGGTTCCTGCTCTCTGTCTGCTCTCGATACCGCCTGCGTCCGCGCTCTCCCTGTTCGGCTTTGGATCATCGTCGGACGGCGCAGCGACAGAGGAAGCCAGGGCAAGAGCCGTGGCGCTGATCAGGGAGAACGCTGCGGGAGACGAGTTCACTCCGCCTGCCTCGGGAGTCGGGAGGCGAGACGCGGCGAGGTTCGCGGCCGCGCGTGCTGCAGGGAAGCTTGTGTGCACCAGCAGCAGCGGGGAAGAAGGCTCGACGGAGATCTCGTGGGACAAGATAAACGACAACTTTTGTGATTGTCCGCACGACGGGAGCGACGAGCCAGGGACCTCTGCCTGCAGCAACGGTGATTGCCCTTTGTTAACGCTGTTGACGGCGTAGTTGGTGACGACCCCTCGCTCTCTATTTGTCCGCCCCTCTGGTGTGCAGAGCAATGATATCCTACAAGGTTGTATATGATGGGGGCTCCGCCGGTATGGTACGATGTGCAGCGCGTACATGCAGCAGAAGTGGGAGCTGAACTGCCCTGTGTGGACTATATCATTAGAGTTGCATCCTAGGTGCAACGGGTTCCAGCTTTTAATAAAGCTCAATTTTCCAATTCTTGATGGCAGAGAGCTGACTGGTCTAGGAGAGTTTTTCCGCACGAGGGGGGTTGTCATCCTCTCAGTATTTTGCTGCAGGAGTACCGCAAGGGGGGAGAGATGGCACCCCCCCCTAGACCGATTTTTAAAGCTCCATTGCTCAACAACCAAGCTTGTGCCAACACCAAGAATGCTCGTTTTGGAAACATCTCGTCGGGGGCTTTCCGTAGACGTATCGGGCTCTTTCCGCGCCCCCTTGGTTGTGGAGCAATCGAGCTTTGAAGGTCGCCCTACGGGGTGTGCCATCTCTCCGACTCTTGCGGAATACCACGGTACGGTATACGGTACGGTACAGCCTATCTTGGTTGTGGAGCAATCGAATCGAGCTTTGGAGGTCGCCATACGGGGTGTGCCATCTCTCCGCCTCTCGCAGTATTTGACATGTGCTAGTCATTCTCACTGTTGTTGATAATCTTCGTTGCGGTACATAGGAGCACTGCTACACGAAAACTTTGGTGTCATCCTCTGTACCTGCTCCCGAGGGGGCCAGGAGTTTATCGGAAGCACGCCTGCCGTGGTTTACGACGCACCGGGGAATGTGGTTCTGTGTAGGGCTAAAGACAGCAGTCGATGGGGAGCTACGCATACGAAGTCTCTACTCTTGCGGCGAGCAAGTTGTCCTCACGTTGAGCAACCACAACGAAAGTGGGGCACGTGTAGGACCACGTGGACAGCAGTATGCACAGGTCTGGTGAAACCAGAGAGAGGTCGTAAGAGGAAGTGAGAGACTAGAGGGGCCAAGGCGGACAGCCGTCGATCATCGCGGTCAAGGAGGGAAGCACCTCAAGAACGCAGAGGAAGGCTTCTAGAACAATCCAGTCGGAGGGATTATCCCGCTGACGTTGGGACGCCACAGATATGTAATTTTGACAGATGACAGAGGCGTGTTGGTCACCCAAGTCCCACAGGACACAAGACCGACATTTGACTTTCGCGGCTACGTCCGTCTTTGAAAACACAGGTGTCTTCGAGTGCGCCAACCGCGGTCACCGGTCGGTGCGTCTGCCGTCGTCCAGGGTCGGGGACGGCGTGTGCGACTGTTGCGACGGGAGCGACGAGCCGGCAGGGGCCTGCAAGGCGTCCTGCGAGGAGGCTTCGGAGGAATGGGTGGCGGGCCTAGCCGACCGGTGTGTTTCCTTTCATGTATTCATGTGTGTGCCTTTGTTGCTTGCATCGACCGATTTTTTCGTGTTTGCCTGCGAGGAGGCTTCGGAGGAATGGGTGGCGGGCCTAGCCGACCGGTGTGTGTCCTCTCATGTATTCATATGTGTGTCTTTGTTTCTGGCATCGACCCACTGTCCGTGTTTGCGTGCGTGTCTTCCCATGGGTTATTTACATCGACCGGGCTAACCGGCTGACCAAATCAGTCTCCGTACGGCTAAAAACAAGTCCCCGTGCGGCTAAACAAACGGTGAACGATTGTTCTAGATTGTCATTATCTGGGACTCCGTGAGAGGCGATAAGGGATGGCCACAGGAGTGACCAAATCTATAGGCTATTTCTCCGAAATCGAAGCCAGAAACGGTAGATAGTACGCGAAGAGAAATGCATGTGTCTACCGAGGACTCTGCTTTCTACTTACTTTGTCGCTATTCGCGTATTTGTGTTTTTGTATGGTCTGCATCGATGACGCTAACCCGCTGATCAGAACCAACAGGCTCTACCTCAGTCCCAGTGGGGGGGGGAGGGGGGCAGGAGAGATCACGCCTCCTAGTCCACAGAATTGCCTCGATAAGGGGCATGCCGAGGGGATTGGTACGACAGGGTCCAGTCTCCCTATCCAGAGAGGTTAAAGAGAGGGACAAGAAGTGAAGCTATCACGTGCCCGTTCTGTTCACGGTGGCACCAACCGCAAAAACCCGCTGGCCGCTGCATCAGCTAACCTCGGTTTCAGCTATTGCTCTACCAACAGCGAAAAACAAGAAGGTAATCTGGTGACTAATGAGATACAAGCAAATCGGCAGACAGACACCCCCAACCCCTCGACGTGAAACCAGGGTGGTGAAGGTGGAGCAGGGCACGGCACGCAGGGTGGGCTACGCTGAGGCGGCCGTTGAGGCTGCCTCCGTCAGAACAAAGGAGATCGAAGACATAAGACTGGTCACCGAGAGCGCGAGGTACGTTTCGGATTGTTTGGGACCGGCATGAGTTTTTTGGGAAAACAAGGCGCGCCTCCGGAGTGGGCTGGCTCGTCAGAGCATATTGGTAGTGTGATAAGGTGTGATGCAAAATGAAAGCAGAACACGTGTTGGTCTGAATCAGCTGCCATCTGCCGCCTGCCATCAATGACTTTTCCCAGGCTCGAACAGCCCCCACAGCTGACGTGTTTTTTTGACTCGACGAGCCCAGCAAAACCTTAACGAGCCAAGAAAACATATTACAAATCTGTACACAGTTTTGTCAATACAATCGAAGAGGGACTACCCGTTCGAGATATATCCGCAGTTGAAGGTTGAAGGGAATGTGTTGAAGCCTGTACAGTGGTTTGTGCACGGAGACGCAATTTGTTGGGCATCAAGCTCGTTGACGAAGCCTTATGTAGATGTCGACGATGGTTATTGACGAACGGGGGGATTTTGAATAGGCTCGGGCGATGTGTTATTTCGGCTTCTTGTACATACCTGTACGTTCGTCTGCGATGCGGTTGTCTTCGCGAAGCGAACGAAATATAGCACACATTTTTTCCCAAGTCGACAGGGTGCGCCGAATCCTCCTCCCTCTCCGATAGGAATGTCCGTTGCTACTTGTTACGGTTGGGCGACCAGATCCCCGCGGCTGTGTTTGTCCGTCCCTGGTGGTTGATGCTCGTTTGCCGAGAAGCACGTCTACATGATGATGTAGTGTATCCCACACACTCCCTTTGTGGTGTATCCCACATTTTCGTCGCGGTGTATGTCACACTCTCGTTGCGGTGCATGCCACACTCCCTTTGCGGTGTTTATTTATGTAGTTCGTGTACGACATCGTGTGCTGGAGTCACACCGTGCGCACGAGGTTCCTGGATGGACCTTTTTTCGTCACGTTTTTTTGTCAGCGCCGACAGCATTTCTGCCCGGTAAATAGGAGCTATAGCTCCAATCCGCAGCCACACCAATGCCTCGCAGCCAAACTTGAACACGCCATTTTTGATCATGTACATGCGCGTGCTCCTGCACTACTACTGGGTGCGTCGTGTATGATACACATGCGCATGTTCCTTGCGCTGCTGGGTACTGCGTGGCTCTCCTTGTTGTTTCCCCCCCGAGAAACGGGATTCCCCGTTATCATCTCTCTTTCTTCGAAGGTACCACCATCCTTATTTTTTTCTCTCTCTCTTGTGTGTGTGGCGGTCGATGGCCGCTCCGTTCGCATGGGTGGGTCCCCGTTTGGGGCAGGGATAAGCTGGCCCAAGCGAAGGAGGCGCTGAAAGCTCTCGAGGAGCAGGAAACCCAGCAGAAGAACGAAAAGCTCGCTGAGGTATGAGCCATGGCAGAGATATGGCACTTGGTGATGGTAATGTTGTAACGGTATTGAGAATATGGTGCGATATAGGACTATTAAGTTTCATACAACGACATGACAAGTTGGCAAAGGATGAAGTTGGTACTGGAACACTGGGTACGAATGACATTGAGACGACTGCGGTTTTTTGGTTGGGAAGTGTGTCGGTGTTGATGACACGTCAGCTCCCTCCTCCCGCGCGTCCGTTTTTTGGGGAGAACGTGACCTGTGCTCGACTCCGACGATGATATTTGTAGACGCAGTGCATTTTTTTTGTCGCTTTCCCCTGCTGGTGTAGTCCCGTTTCTTCAGGAAGACGAAGGCCGTGTCCGAGATGAGAATTTGGAGCGCGCGTGGTTTCTCCGCGACGATAATGATAGAAGTTAGAGACGCGGTTTCAACAAGGCTCGGGACTCTTTGTTCCGAACGCAATATTTAACCCTACCACTTTCACTTTTTTCCCCGCCGGCGTCGTCCCGCCTGGCCGTCAGGCGGAGAAGGCGGTGTCCGAGAGGACGCGAGGCGTGCTGGAGGACCCCGAAAGACTGGCGGCATTGGCCGTTGCCGTCGCTTCGGCGGACGAGCCGTCGGCGACCCTGGAGACGCTGTGCCGATCGGTGCTGGACGGGGTGGACGTAGGCGTGGCGCTCAAGGATTTGCTTGACGAGGGGAAGAAGAAGGACAAGGACGGCAGCAAGAAGAAGGGGTGAGAGAAGGGGCACAATGCCTAACAGGGGGGGGGGGGGGAGCTCACAAAAAACGAGGTACTTTTCTTGTCAAAATGTTGC